TAGGCCGCCATGTGTGACGCTGTGTTTCGTTGTGAAAGTGAAACTACTTTGTTTTGCCTTCCAAAAATGGACACGACTAGAAATCAGTGGTTAAGTTGTATTTACAACACTGTTCCAGAACACTTCAACCCAAATATTCAGATGTGTGCAGCACATTTTATGGAGGACTGTTTCCTGATCCTGGTAGAGTAGACTACAATGCCGGCTGTTCTGACTCACATACTGTAAGTAAGCTTTTTTTATATTTAAAGAGTTTTTTTATTTAAAGCAAGTTTTTTGGGTAGTGTAGAGTAGGGCTTGTTGTTTGTAATTTCTCCGATCACAAATGCAGACATGGTTTTATGTTTATGCGGCGTGATGCAACACAACGCATAAAAAGACAGTATAAGTCATTATAATCCATAATTATGTCCCCACTGGATGCAACGAATGCCTCGTTTATAATGGGTTTTCATGTTTTTGAGTCATCGCTCCGGCCTGACAGGGCATCATCACAATATGGTAAGGGGCGTAACATTTCCGTCACACGCTTGAGGTATTCAGCCAATCATAACGTACTGGACAGCTGGCCAATCACAGCACACCTCGCTTTTCAGACCGACGAGCTTTGTAAAAATCGATGCGTTTCAGAAAGGCGGGGCATAGAGGAGAACAATAATGTACAGTATTTAGAAAATAATGTGCTTTTTTAACCTTAAAGCGCATAAACACATTTCATTACACCAAATAGTGTTCTTTTTAGCAACATCATATGACCCCTTTAAGAGCTTCAGGAGTCAACTGATAGGCTTTAACCAGCCAAGGTAAGGTACCTGCACAAAAACACACTCGGCAAAATATAATTTAATTAAACTATCTCAGAAAATCTTGATATTTTTGTCACGATTTCACACTCCTGGAATGCAGTATTATATTCATGTTTTGTGTTATTCAGGGTTTAGCTCTGTTAGATCGAAGCTCTAAACCAGAGACCATCTCACTGCTGCGGATAGAAGATCTGCCTGAGGATACGTTGGAGCGATTCAACAGCCTCTTCAGCCTGAGAGAAAAATGGACACAAGATGACATTGAACCCTACATACAGTAAGTTTATTGACACTAGAACTCTTTGAAGCTGCATTTTTTATTTGCTGACATAGACCATACATTAAGTTTTGAAAAAAAGTTGACAAAAAAATTATAGGCATGACCCCCAACTGATTGTTGTTTCCTGAACAGAGATCTCTGTGGAGAGAAGCAGACCACTGGAGCTCTCCTGACCAAACATGCACGTTCATCTGTGCAAAATGGTGTGAAGGTCTACAATTCAAGAAGACCCATTGCAACTTAACTTTAAAACAAATCACTTTAAAGCCACTGGTTGCTGCCTTGTATGTTGTTTGGTTGAAAATAAAAAAAACACATTAAATATTGTTATACTGTAGCTTAGTGTGGAAAATGTAATTTTTATTAAAAATCTCAATTACAGCATAACTAAAGTGGGGAGAAATTTTTGCAAACTGAAAGTGACATTATTTTTATATTATATTGCACGCTTTCTAAATATCTCACGACATGACCCCTTTAAGTGTTGGTTTAATTTAAGTACAAAGGAAGAAAATTGAGAAGAAACGTGAGTCTTTTAGAGCAAAGTGAGTAAAATAACTTTGGGGCAGTGTAAATTAGATGAACTAAGAAGTGTGAAAACAAGAATAAAACTTGATGAACTTTAGTTGAAAGGAAAATAAAAGGTTTTAACCAATCAGTAAATGCTATTTTTCTGATATAGGCATGTATAATCTGCTGTTATGCTGTTCTCTTCTAGACAAGAAATAATTCTTGAATGAAAATTCTTACTTTTTAATGGAATACTTTAGTGTTTATTATAAATAATTTATGCGTGCACTTCATTTTTTTTTTTTTAATTCATGTGCCCTCGTAATCTTTAATCAAATACGTTAACCTACCCTCCCCCTCAAAATGACTCCTCTTCTCTTCCGGTCACGAGCTTTGGTGCAAGTGCGGAGCTACTAGTGACGTGAGGGGTAAACGCTGGGATAAACGACAGGGGGAAAAGCTGAAGCTAATGCTTCTTTATAGCACTGACACCAGTCATGAGGGAGTACGTTACCCCTAAACATTGAAAAGATATTAGGATATTACGACAACATTACTCTTCTCATCTACAATTTTTTTTCATGAATATGACTTAACCCGATGGAGGACACGCTCAGTCATTCGCAATTTTACGAAGCTACGAGAATACTTTTTGTACGCAAAGAAAACAAAAATAACAACTTTATTCAACAATTCGTCTCCTCTGCGTCACCCTGGTGCCATTTTGGAGAATATCCACTGAATGTAAACAGCGTATGCTATTCTGTGTCAGCTGCGTCACTCAGTTTTCTTTGCGTACAAAAAGTATTCTCGTAGCTTCGTAAAATTGCGGTTGAACCCCTGATGTCACATGGATTATTTTACCGATCTCTTTGCTACGTTTCTGGACCTTGATCGTGGTAATTGCATTGCTGTCTATGGGAGGGTCAGAGAGCTCTCAAAATTCATCAAAAATATCTTAATTTGTGTTCTGAAGTTGAACAGAGGTCTTACGGGTTTAGAACGACATGAGGGTGAGTAATTAATGACAGAATTTTCATTTTTGGGTGAACTAACCCTAGTGATCTATCAAACAGTCTTGTCATTGAAACGAGTTGAGTTATACTTGGTTACACTGTTACCCGTGTTGTGAAGAAGAGCAATACAAGTAATGGAACAGCTGTGACTGGTCAGAAAATGATCAACAGCCCCGTAGTATAAGACAATATAAAATACAATAAACATCCAACCAAAAAAAATTTTTTTTGTATGTTTAGTGTATACAGAAAACCTATAAAAAAATCTTAATGTTTTTTGGAGCATAACACTTTTTTTTTGTTTGTTTCACTTTGAAATTATAACAAATTGTAACATTTTCCATCTATATGTCCTGCACCAAAATTCATTGTGTCATTTGTCAGTTTTATGTCTTTGAAATGTCAGTGTCAATCAGTTTTCTGTGCTTGTCTAATCCAAAATACAATCATTAAATTTACATTAGATTTATTAATTTAGCAACTGATTTTTATCCAAATCAACACACAACTGCCTACATTTATTTAAATCAGGCCCGGCGCTAGCTACAGCACCACCCCCGAAAGAATTTGTGCAAGAATTTGAATTAGTTTTTTTGCTAAAAAATATTTCATTCAAAATTTTCATTTTAAGTTTCACTCTCATCAAATGTTTCAAAACCCGACTGTACAAACTACAATTGTTTAGATTTATAGAAAAAAAAAATTTAACAGAATGAACAATATGAAAATTAAATTACCATAATAGAAATTCTCAACATAATATAACAGTAGGCCTAATTATGTTTCCATCCCGTTGTTTTTATGCATAAATTCAAAATGTGCATAAAACATCTGGAAACACTGCAAATTCATAGGTGGAGGTGGAAAAGCTAAGGTATGACTAAAATCTAAATATGATTAAGGTAAATGTGACGTAGCAGCTGCCCTGAAACTGATGTTCCTGACAGATAGGCCTATGTCTAGAAACGCCCTCTCATGAACATCTGGCTGAATAAAACCTCTGTCTGTCTTTCTGACCCTCACTAATGGCATACTCTTTTGGTATAATATGACATAAATATGTTTTATAAATTATGCAAGACACAGAAAGTCACCACATTAGCATGCAGCGGGACAAAAGAAACACTTGTTGTCACTGTAGGGGGACAAAAGTAGTGTTACTTTCGTCCCGACAGGAACTCCTGACATTTAAACCTGATTTACTCTTATACTGAAAAACTCTGAAAAGGCAAACTTCAGGATGTGTTACAGCACTAAATAACCTGTAGCTTGATCATTACTGTGACACATGAAACGAGAAACACAACTAATTAAAAAAAAAAAATACAGCTTCTGTAATTTACTTATTGTACTCGAAAACAGCTTTCCGGACCTAACCGTGGGAAACGATGATGAAATCACGTGATATTTCTCAGCTCCGTCAAGGGTTGCGTGCTGAATGTGCTGTCACAGCTTGGAAAGCAAATGTAGTCAGGGCTCTGAGAAAATCGCTTTGTTCCCTTTCGAACGTTCTCTCACGTTGTGTATGGGAAACTCCTGTTTACACTGATACTGAAGCCTGATTTGTTCACATTTGTGTAGCTGCACAAACCAATGGCACTCTAGCCTGCCAGAATGGGAGGAGCCGACCCCTATATAAGTCGGCTCAGAGCGCCATTTCATCAGAATATTCTCCTTTAGCAACGAGGATCATCTCTTCGCTGACACTGGACGGAAGAAACTGAAGAAGGAAAGAAGCTCTCTCTGCTCGCCGCAGTCGAAGAAGCCCCGGCAGTGGAAGAAGCGGCGCGGACGCCTTCCCCTGCGGCTATCTGGCTGACTAAAAGAGCAAATTTCCAAGCGCGCGTTGCTTCAAATGTCGCACCGCGAGTGTGACTCGTGCAGGGATCCCCTGCTTGAGTCTGACCGGCACAGAGACCCCTGCTTGAGTCTGACCGGCACACCCGCTCTGCTCTCCCGTAGGGTTGGCCGACGTTTACCAAATTGGCATCGGACGATGTCTACAGTGAAACATCATGATGGACGATGACATCAGGGGGCGGGGGTAGGGGTGTGCCCAAATCTTGAAACAAGTAACGCATTATACGGAACCACTAAAAGGTTAGCCGCTTGCTAGCGGTAGCCTGTTGCATTAAAGTACATGAAAGTTCACTTACCACATACACAGAGTAAGGAGAAATGCCTGATAGGACGATGGCGAATGATTTGCAGATCCTGAGCATCAATGACAAACATCTAGTCTTGTCAAATGTGTGGTAAGTACTGCCTTCCATAGTATAGAGTCCTTGTGATCTCGAAAGTGAAAGTAAAATGAGAGTGTGCAATCGAAAGCAGTTTCAATAGCGGCTCCCTGATGCCCGCAATTTATATACAGTCGCCTATATTTACCCAACGATATAATTGCGAGAAAAAGTATTGAAACATTTTTTTATCCTCATCTCGTAGGCTATTTATTCCCTTTAGGATTTCCGTGGTACACTTCATTTCCTTTCTGAACACGGAACTGGGATGCAGTGGATTGCGGGAGAAGGGGGGGGGCAATCACGATGTCAGCTTAACATCGTGATGTCTGTCGGCCCAACCCTACTCTCCCGTTTCCTCTCTCCCCAAGAGAAAAAAACAGCGGAGCAGCGGGGTTCTCACAGCGGGTTCGAGCGATGTCACGTCGGCTCGGCGCCCATGTGCCCTGCCCTCCCCGTGCCTCACCGAGTCGCCAGTGTTCTTCACGCAGGAAGATCAATGCCCTTCTTCTGCGAGCGTCTTGATCTCCTTCTGCGTCTCGAAGGAAGAGATCTTATCTTTGACAGCGTCGGATACAGAAGAGAGGGGGTGTTCTGGCGAAGATAGTGACACCCTGCCCTCTTCTCGCTCAGCACGGCCGAATGCGGACAGCGATCTGATCCACGTTCTTTCTAAGGGAGTGGAGGATATCGGCTTGGAGTGGTCGGCCCCGGTTGAGCACGCCCATGGCCTGCTTGACGAGTGGTTCCTGAAAGAACGCCGTCAGCGATTTGACCAGTAAAACGAGGTTACTCACTTCAGTTTGCTTGCAGGCTGCCTCCGTTCAGAGGCATTATTCACACTTCGGTCCCGGACAACAGGGCTCACGTTCTCCGGTCCGAAGTGGAAGCGGTACCTCTAGCGAACAACGAGTCAGGCTTTTTAAGCCATTACTTCCTCGTGCCTTAATAAGATGGCGGGTTGAGACCAATTCTAGATCTCAGACTTCTGAATCGCTCTCTTATGAGACGGCCATTCAGAATGTTAACTTTGAATGTTAACTTTGTTAACGTGCAGGTTTGTCCCGAGGACTGGTTTCTGACAGTGGACCTGAAAGATGTGTACTTTCACATCCACATAATCCCCGCCACAGACCATTCTTGAGATTCACGTTCGAGGGAGTGGCCTATCAGTACACAGTCCTACCATTTGGACTGTCTCTGTCCCCTCGCACTTTTACGAAGTGCATCAACGCTGCTCTTTCCCCTCTGAGACAGATGGGAAGCCACATTCTCAATTACCTCGACGACTGGCTGGTTTTAGCCAGAAGAGAAAGGGAACTAATCGTGCACAGATCGCTGCTGATCAGCCATCTGGAGCGCCTCGGGTTGAAAATCAACCCACACAAGAGTCAGTTGTTCCTCAGACAGCGAGTGGTCTTTCTGGAAACTGTTATAGGCTCGACCCAAATGCAGGCATGGCTTATGCCGGACTGGTG